TACATATAGGCATTTTCACATAGAGGCATTTTCTTATCCAAAGAAAACTCTTTTTTTCTTTTTTAAAGATCAGGACAGTTTGAAGTCTTTCAATGCCTGTTAACAACACTCTCCCAAGCAAAGATTTAATCCATGGAATTGTAAAGAAAGAGAAAACAGGAAGCCCTTAATATTCCACTGCAGGTTAACTGCCCACCTTGAAGTAAATGTCCTGTTACTTCTAAATCCACCTGGAGAGTAATTAAGGTGTTATTTCTCACAATTTACACTTCAGTAGCTCCATCAATACAGCACCCCCCCCCCCAATCTTGCCAAGTCATAGCCCTGAAGGTGCTAAAATGTGTGGTACATGAATATTACATCTGGTACATGACAAACCAAGAAATGTCTGCCATCATCACATCATGTTATAACGTAGAGAATATTACATCGGCAACTGAGGACCATGGAGTTTTGCGTAATGCACCAATGACAGTTTTGCCTGTTTTGGGATATTTTAAAGCTTTACTTTTCCCTTTCTTTTTCCTCAAATTGACCCCAGTGACTCCAAGTGCTCATTTGTAGGACTTCCTGTGTGCCTCCGCTCCCCCGACTCACAGCGATGTCCTGCTGTTTCTGGCCGTGCTCCTGCAGGAGGTGGCTGGCGGTGCTGCTCAGCTTCTCGCACTCCGCCTGGAGCTGCAGGATGGCGTGCTGCACTTGAGTTATCACCTCCGAGTTCTGAAAACACAAAGACAGCGTCTCTGCCAAAAACAAAATGAGGCCACGCGTTTGTCTGTGTGCTCATTTTGGTGTGCTGCGTTCTGACGAAAATGTTCACTAAATCTGTATTACACACGTGATCTTGTCAGATCTTAGAATGTGAGTAAAGCTAGCGCTGGTCAGAACTGGGATGGGAGTCCTCCAAGGTAACCCAGGTTGCTGCTGTAAGAATAATACAAATAATAATAATAATTGCTTACACTTATATACTGTGGATAAATGGATGATGTAAGTAATAGTAACAAGTAATAGGTTTATTCCATGCTGAAAAGAGAAGAGAGAAAACACAACGTTTTGGCTGTGAAGCCTTCTTCACTATGATGACTGGGGGCTCTGTCCTGTGGGAGGCATTGTGATTCAGATAAGGTGTTAAATCAGGATCATTAAAGATCTCACATCATTGTTCATAACTGGAAGAGTGTTAACTCAGGTGTTATGGTTAAATTCCACTCCTGCCTAAAGTTCCCCCTTAACTCAATAGGAGAAGCAGTTTCTTGCTCCCCCACCTCAGCCACTGTGTAGTGGGACTGCAGGCGAGTGTCACCCAGGTGTGTGCTGCTCCACATCGGTGGGTGAAGCAGCCCCCCTCCTGTGTGTAAAGAGCTTCAGGATCTTGAGCGCTGCAAAGCTCTACATACATGCAAGCCGTATGTATTTGCATGTTGACCTGAGATAATACTGTGGTTTTCGAATTAAATCACCTTTTCCTGCTTGCACTTCTGTAAAGGTTTTCGTACAATATTCATTGCCAAAATCTAAAAAAATATTTCAAAGGCTTTCTATGCTGAACTTAAGATAGGGGGGAAAAGTACACAATAGAATTTATACCTAAACTTTTTATTTTTCTTATTTTATTTTCAATATGTTTACCTGGCTCAGAGGCCCTGTCCTGACCCTGTCTCCCTGTCTGCTCAGATGACTGCTGACCAGCCCCTGCAGCTCCTCATAGCGCCGGAACAGCTGGCTGACCTTCCTGCTGACATCCACACAGCAGGAGGGGTAGGTGGTGTCCTCCTTCTCCCCCCGGCTCCCTAGGGACCTATCCCCCCGTCTGCCCCCCAGCTCCTCTGCGCCCTGGCCCTGCCTCTCTTCCTCCTGGGCCAGGCTCCTCTGCAGTAACGTGGAGGACGAAGAGATCGTGCTCTCCAGGGTCACTCTCAGCTTGTCTAGCTGTGTGAACATGAATGTGAGCACATTGCACCCGAGCCACCCACACAGCACAGTGTCAAAGCACGGCTACCTTTTCAAGAGAAAGTACTGGGCCTTCAGAAATATGCTAGGCAGCATCACAAGTTGCTGTAGCTGTTTAAATAAGCCCGCCTTTCTGCTTTCTTTTCTCACTGCTCACATTCTGACAAATACATGAGAGCACTTCTAAACAGAGGGAGATCATTTTGAGTTACAATGCTCATTGTTCACACCCACATGCTTCTTAAAAGATAACCTGAAATCAGTTTCAGTTGCACTCCTGTTGCACTTATATGCAGAAATACACTTCATCTCAAATTCCTTTTTATTTATGATGTCATGTTTCTTCTGATGAAGGCCAGAAAGTCAGCTTGACTTCAGGGCAGATGTACTATACAGCCAGGAGCACTCACTTCCAAGATGTCAGCTTCCATGCGCTAGACGACAGGGCAGGTATAGCTGCTGGAGAAACTAATTTCTCTAAATGCTACTGCAATGTAATCTAATGTTTCTCAATAAACTGTTCTGATGGCATGCTCTTCTTCACAAGGTGGAATTGTGAAAGGTTTGACAAAATCAAAATCTAAAAGCTTGTCTGGACGTGAACAACGAAAGAAACAAACATTCAATGTACTTGACATGTTGTAAGAGCAGATTTTACAACCTTTAGTTACTCCAGTACATTCACTGTTTTGCACTGGATATTTTTCCAATAACCATAAGCAATTACTATGCTAAATATAGGTTACAGAAATATAGTCCCATACTGTACGTACATGATTCCTAAATAAGCAAAAGTTTGATTGCAAAGACAGATGAGCAGGGCTCCAAACCTAGTATTGGAGAGTCTTTTACTCCCATTCAGCTGTAAGTTACTTAATTGAATCAATTATTGGCTAAATAAGTTAATAATTCCTGAAAACGTGGGGATCAGAAAAGGAACAGAGATTCCTGAGTTAGAGGAATACAGTTACATGACATGGTTCTTCTTAATCTGTTGGACCTGTTCCTGCAGATGTTTGTCTGTCCTGGTGCTGGGCTGTTCTTTTCTCTCCTTGCTCCCCTGCTTCTCTCTTTTGAGCTCCTCTACCTCTCTCTCTAGGTCCTGCACAGCAGACCTTTGTGGGGCCAAAGGTCAAAGGTCAATGGTTTTTAGTTTTTCTTTTAGTTTAGAATTAAATTCAATCTGCTCCTCAAGGCCTACAGAAATATCTTTTTCTTTAAATGGCAGAAGACCTTAGATGCTTGCTGGAAGCAACTCTCTAGCATCTGTACTCTACAACCTTTTGCACTTAAAGGCAGAAAGATGATACTGATGATGTTGTCTGCCTGACGCAAAAGCAGGAAAGTTAATTCAACAGACTGGCTGGAGAACCTAGACTACTTAGTCAGATGTCAGGTCTGCTTGGTCCACAAGTTCACTCCTGGGAAAGCTGCAGTTACCTGAGGTACAATATCTGAAAACTGATCTCTCCGTCCACAGTCTGCCCCTGCTCTGCCTTCTCTCCTTTCCCGGGTGAAGCTCCAGCCAATGTCTGAAAGAGCTTCTGAAACTCCCTCTGCTGCAAGCACAAGAACACCTGTCTCTACTGCCCCCTGCTGACCATGCAAGTAAAAGTGCAGTAACATGCAGCACTGTGCTGGATGTTAGGGTTCTCAGCTTGCATTATGATCTAGTCTGGAGAGGGCAAAGATGCATTGTATCCAAGGTTCATTATTCCACATATAGAGCACAAGCACCTTACCACCATCTAGGAATTTATTCCTGCATTTGCAGACCTTTGTATAGTAATGTATGTTACAATATTACTAGTATACTGTAAAATGTAGTTAATGAAATCATATATATATATAAAGGAACAAGTAATAGGTTTATTCCATGCTGAAAAAAAGAAGAAAGAGAACACAACGTTTCGGCCGTGGAGCCTTCTTCAGGTGTGAACCTGAAGAAGGCTCCACGGCCGAAACATTGTGTTCTCTTTCTTCTTTTTTTCAGCATGGAATAAACCTATTACTTGTTCCTTTGCAGCCTACGCATGCTGACGCAGCTACCCACCTGAACTATATATATAAAGGTTTTTTATAATGACACCTAACCACAGTAGTAGTCTCTTCCCGAATGCCTATAAAAACACAGAGTTTCTGGTTCAGACCAATATAATTCAACGACAATATGAATCGTTCTATTGCACTTATTACTTATCAAATAAAAATGTCCAGCACAATTCTGTAATGGACTGGATTTCAAGAAGGTCAGAAACTACGTAGCCCTCTTAGGATTTTACTACAGGTTTTCCTAAAGTGGCTCACTTTATAAACATAGAACTTCAATTGATAGTGAACTGATAATACAATACCTATTTAAAAAATGTTTATATAACTTAATCTGAAGCGATACTGTTTTCTTTTATTTGGCAACATCTTGCAAGAGGTAAACATCTCAGCTGTTAAACCAACTCCAACTGCACAGCCGAGTTTCCTGTGAAACAACACCCGGAGTAAAGTCAGGTTGTTTGTCCTTCTGCTCCAATCAGCCAGCAGTGACAAGCATGTCTGTTCATCCATCACATCATACTGTCAGAGAAGACCCTTTCCAGACCTGGCTTCTGGAAACAGAGCCATAGTTGTGAAATGTAATGAAATGCAGTATGAGATGGTGGCTGTGTTCTCCTTTCGTTGGCGTGTAGAAATTCTTCATTTACAGCATCATCATCTTCTGGTACTTTGCATATAAAGTAGTCTAACGAAGCGAACCAAAGAATATAGACTCAATTCTGAGTACATGTGCAAGTTAACAAATTTCCACCTTCAAAGCCGTGTAGAAAATCACAAATAAAAAAAGTTGCCAGGAAATTATAACACTTAAGGAAAACCTAAGAAAATTGTAAGGCATAAGATGGTACCTTAAAGACTCAGATTGAATCAAGCCAAGAAACACCATAGAGTGAAACTGCAGACACCGAGGTTCTCCTTGGCCAAGGACTGGGCACTCTCAATATGCTTAACATTATGAACTGCACATTATGTTCTGGGCATTAATATGAAACCGCACGTGAAAACAAACAGACTTGAAACAGATGTCATGTGTATGGGACACAGCACCAAACACAGCAAGGAGCAGGCACAAACATGACAGCAACCTGGTTTTCTGCACCACCTGGGGTCCAACACGGATTCTCGTTCAGATTGGAATTATGTGTTATGGGAAGATTGTACATCAGCTATGGTGGGAGTTGCTCGTTTTAACGCTGTAGGACTCTGGCCCTGCATATCTTTGTGTCGTCATTAATAAATAACAAATCGATTGAGTGTACATTGATAAAACCGTACTTCAGGACTGGGGGAAACATGTTACCTTCTCCCTGTCTGTGGAAAGGCTCTCCACCGTGGCCGTCAGACAGTTCAGCTGCTCCAGCAGGTTGTCAGGAAGGTCCCTCTTGGCTGTGAAGAGAGAGAGGAAAACTGCAACCCAAGCATGGAAAACGTCTGCTAAACTCTTCTTTTTAATAGGAAAATGAACTTTTATGGTCACGGCTTGGAAAATCTAAGAAAGCGATCAGAATACAGAAATGCGCAGGTTGTGCCAGCACGTCAGCAGTCTCATTTATGTGCAGTGCCTGTGTGGAGCTCGCAGAAGGGCATCACTGGACAACGCAAACAAGTAGTGGTGAAGAATGGGAGTTCTTAAATAGGATTCATGCATTATTCATTCTTCGAAACTGCAGTCCAGAGTAAATGTTTTGCAAAAGCAACACCCATCCATTTTCTAAATCGCTTTATCCAATATTGGGATACCGGGAAACTGGCAAGCAACGGACACAAGGTAGGGTACACCACAGATGGGAAGCCAGTACATCACAGGGCACACACACCAGGGCCAATTTTCCCAGAAGCTAATTAACCTACTACTGCCTTTGGATGTTTAGATGTAGATGTTTCTAGCAAGCAACGGGCAAAAGGTGGGATATACCCTGGATGGGATGCCAGTCCACTGCAGGATAAACACACAGACGCAGACAGCAATACACACACTCACACCAGGGCCAATTTTCCGATGAAGACAATTAACTATGGGAGGAAACCAGAGGACCCGGAGGAAACACATACAAACAGAGAGAACATCCAAACTCCACACAGACAACACCCCAGGATTTGAATCCAGGGCCTCAGCACTGCCAACCACCGTGCCACCCACAGAAGCAAGACGGAAACTGCCAGCGCTAATGTGTTTTCCCCCAGCAGTAGGACGCCCGTGGCTCTGGGGGAGTACCCAGCTCGGCGAGGTGCTCCCGCAGCTGCTGCAGCTGGCTGAGCTCGGCCTTGCTCCTCTCCAACAGCTCCACCCGCTCCTCCAGGGCGTCGTGGCGCTCCTTCAGCTGGCCCACGTGGCGCAGGGCCTCCACCGTCTCGGGGTAGCGGTCCGCCCCGCTGCTGGCCCGCGACGACCCCCGGGCGGAGGG